GATGAAGTCTCGCTCTGTTGCCCAGGCTGGAGTGCAGTGGCGCGACCTCAGCTCACTGCAAGCTCTGTCTCCCAGGTTCACGCCACTCTCCTGCCTCAGCCTCCCAAGCAGCTGGGACTACAGGCGCCCGCCACCACGCCTGGCTAATTTTTTGTATTTTTAGTAGAGACAGGGTTTCACTGTGTCAGCCAGGATGGTCTCGATCACTTGACCTTGTGATCTGCCCACCTTGGCCTCCCTAAGTGCTGGAATTACAGGCTTGAGCCACTGCAGAAGCTCTTAAAGTACCCAAAGATTAACTGTAAAGGAGGTCTCAGTTGGCGAGGCACACATCACTGGTACTGATGTCGTCTAAACAGTTTTCACTTTAGTTCCTCCAGTATGAATATGCAGGATCAAATTAATAGACCACTCTTTTTATCACAGACAGAATAGTATAGTGGTGAAGTCCAACGCCTCCACAGTCAATCCTGGATCTGCTCATTCTCAGCTGTGACAGAGGGCAAATTTCTTAATCCCTTATGCCTTCATTTTCTCCTCTACGGTATGAGGACAATAATAGTACCAACCTTGTGGGATTGTTGTTCATGAGTTAGTACATGAAATGGCTTAGAAAGGTGCCAGGCACAGATGTTCACATAGTAAACACAGCTGTCACCATTATTCCTGGGAGGATATTCTTATAAAGAAAAGTAAAATACAAACAATGGTGCTACAAGTGAGATTCAGGTATAGAGGCAAGGAATTGTTTGGAGAATTTAGGACAAAAGGTATTTTGGAGGAAAAGAGTAAAGATGTGGAGTCTGTCTTTACTTATCCAGAGAAGCTGCCAAGAGACCTGCTGCCTGGGACTGGCTGGCAGGATCCCAGAAGCAGCAGCCACTATTGCAGTTTACCACTTCCAAAATGACTCCACCCCAGGGGCGAGCGAGGTGAAAGGAAGAGAGGGGTTTTGTTTTCTCCATCTGCACTTAATGCTTCTTCTTCCACCAAGAGGGGAAACTATGAACAGGGTGTTTTGGCCTTTGAACCACCTTGACAGCTTGAATTCCTTTACTCTTCCAGGAAATGGTAAACAAAAAAGAATTGCTGTGCTGACACTCTTTTTGCTTCTGTTTTCCTTATTGAATGGCTACTGCTTTTAAAGAAAAGTGTCTCTTGACTATCTAAAATGTATTTCAGACTCCTTCGATATATGTCTAACTAGCATGAGGTGAAACAAACAGAAAAGTTGATAAAGGCGTGAAAGCTCACCTAAGCTTTAGGTGACTCCTAAGTCACCTAAGTAAGCTTTTGCTGACTTCTAAGGACAGGCATGCCATAGAATATAAACAATTGGTCAAAGTTATTTAAAATCATTGTTAGACAAAGGAAAGATGGAGGGAGGAAGAAGACACAAAAGGGAAGACCATAGGAAGAGAAAGAAAGAGTCTGTAGCCAGAGATTACTTTATGGGTATGTAACCAGTGCAGCCACAGAGGGCCCGGTACTCAGATGGGACCTGGTGCTTAAGGCATAATATTCTGTGGTCCCCATCTGGAAATTCTCACTTTATCTTTTAATTGTTTTTGTAAAGGAAGTCTGATACAAGAGTATAGCCTCTGCTCAGACAGTTCTGCTTCCCAGGCTCCCTGGGACAAATTCTCAGCCCCCTGCTCGCCCTACCCAGGAACAAGATTTTTTCCTGCATCATTGCACCACCAGTCAGTACTCATCATGGTCACTTCTTTAAGATGAACTCTGTCAGTTTCCTGGTGGTCAGCCTCTACAGCAAATGGGGGCACAAATGATCAGACCTAATGAGCAAGTTGTTGTCTAGGTGGCCCATCCATCACTCTAGCTCTGATGTCAGTCCATTGCACATGTATTTAATTTCAGTCCATCCTTCGTTCGCTAATTATGGAAGACAACTTAGCTCCTATGGGAGACAAAAATCTCTGCAGTGACTTGAGACAAGTGGAAATTTGTTGGAGAGCTTAGATAGAATGTATTTTTATTCTTTTTTTCCATTTTCTTTTCTCTTTTCATCTTTTTTCTTTCTTTCTTTCTCCTTTTTCTCCTTTGTATTTTGATCTTAACATGCCTAGACAGAGAAGAACACTGGATTGTACATAATGAGCTTTCTTTGACTCTCTTTTCCAGAGTGGAAATAGGATTCTGTGCTCCATCATCCTGAATCATCACCAGGGGCCGTCCATAATCAACTATGATGATGAGAGTGGGAAGACATGTGTACATATCGCAGCAGCAGCGGGCTTCAGCGATATTATTCATGAGCTGGCAAGAGTCGCTGAGTGTAACCTGCAGGCTCTGGATGTGGATGACAGGTATCCGTGGCAACCAGAAAGTGCTGGGAACGCCTAGTCATTTCCCCCTAACTGAATCTTAAAATAAAGAAGATGTTTAAGGAGGTGTCCTATACAGCTATATCCTTATTGCCAGTAATACACATGTGCTTGTCACAATAAAAATTGCTCTATTTTAGTGAGAGGAGGAAAAATTATTGTCATGGAGAGAAAGACTGTGACTGTACAGTATTGTCAGATTTTCCACTTTTTGCTAAATGTTCTCCGTGCTCTCAGAAGGCGTTCTATATTTCAGCTTCCTGCTATGTGCCCTTTTTGTTCCTAAAGGTAGGTTTTGAGATTTTTGTTTTCTTCATTCTTGGATTATGTTATAAAGTCCACCAGTTCTTTTATCCAGAGAAGAACATAATAAAGACTGTATTCTGGACTATTGGGCTCCTAGAACTACAAGGAACTTTTTCAGGCTGTTGTTGTTTTCGATCATCAAAGATGTATTGTCTGAAAAAGGAAGCTGGGTACAAAAAGGTAAAAAGACTTCTCTCAGAGCTAGTGAGATACTAGATGAAGATTTGTACACCTGTCTTTCAAACTTACAGCTTTTCACGTAGAACGCCCTGCTTATCTAAACTGTTTTGGTTAGGCACTGAATCAATGGAAATGTAAGAAAAATATAACAACAAACAAGCCTATCAAAAATAAGTAGACTCAAGCACTCTGGTTTCTTTATCCTCTTGTATTGAAGTGCAAAATTAGCCCCCTACTTATAATTATTTATTTATTTATTTATTTATTTTTTGAGATAGAGTCTCGCTTTCATGCCCAGGCTGGAGTACAGTGGTGCAACCTCAGCCCACTGCAACCTCCACCTCCCGGGGCCAAGTGATTCCCTTGCCTCAACCTCCTGAGTAGCTGGAACTACAGGCTTCTGCCACCACACCCAGCTTACTTTTGTATTTTTAGTAGAGACAGGGTTTCACCATGTTGGCCAGGCTGGTCTTGAACACCTGGCCTCAGGTGATCTGCCCGCCTCGGCCTCTCAAACTGCTGGGATTACTGGCATGAACCACCATGCCTGGCCTACTTATCATAATTTTAGATACCCCAAGAAAGCTCCAGATACGTGATGCTCCCAGATACTTGAAATTCTTCTTTTTCTTTTTAAAATTACTTTATAAAATATGGAATACTTCACAAATGTGTGTGTCATCCTTGTGCAGGGACCATGCTAATCTCCTCTATTAATACCTGAAATTCTTTTAACCCAGGGAAAAGATGGGGGGCTCTACATAGGCCTCAGAAGTTGGAGATAGTTAAATGACTTTAAGTAAAATTAAAGTATAAATCATTGAAAGTAGACATTTTTCGGCCAGGTGCAGTGGCTCATGCCTATAATCCCAGCACTCTGAGAGGCCGAGGTGGGTGAATCACTTGAGGTCAGGAGTTTGACACCAGCCTGGCCAACATGGCGAGATCTGTCTTTACTGAAAATACAAAAATTAGCCAGGTTTGGTGGGGGACACCTATAATCCCAGCTTGTCAGGAGGCTGAGGCAGGAAAATCCCTTGAAGCCAAGAGGCGGAGGTTGCGGTGAGCCAAGATCGCGCCATTGCACTCCAGCCTGGGTTACTAAGCAAGCAAGACTCTGTCTAAAAAAAAAAAGACAGAAAGAAAAGAAAAAAGTAGGTGTTTTCCTAAGAGGAGGTGTTGATCATAAGCAAGTAAGAAAGTAGAAGGACATAAGCTACATGAGGAAAAAAGTGAATTAACCTTTTTTTTTTTTTTTAAAAAAAAAAAGAACAAATTTCAGAAAGGCAGGCTGAGGGAAAGTTTATCTACTTCAAAACACTCCTAGAACCAGCTTTGAATAGAATAGTTCCCATTTTGCAATACCACCCACTTAGCAAAGAAAATCCAGTTCTCTAGGCCTCAGGGTGGAAAGTAAAACTAACGGGAGAAAAGAAAGTACAAAAGATAAGGAGAGTTCAAACGGAAGTAAAATATCCAGAAGAGTCCTTTCCACTCCAGTGCTCAACTCAAAGGCCTCATGTACTGATCAAATCCTAGCCTCCATTTTTCTTCCATGTTTTCTGCAGCTAAACATGCAATTCTGCCTTCATGCTGAAGCTATAAGCTTCTGTTAATAGTTGAATTTTTCAGGGCCAGGCACGGTGGCTCACGTCTGTAATTCCAGCACTTTGGGAGGCTGAGGCGGGCGGATCACAAGGTCAGGAGCTCAAGACCAACCTGGCCAACATGGTGAAACCCTGTCTCTACTAAAAATACAAAAATTAGCTGGGCTTGGTGGTGCACGCCTGTAATCCCAGCTACTCTGGAGGCTGAGGCAGGAGAATTGCTTGAACCTGAGAGGCAGAGGTTGCAGTGAGCCAAGATTGTGCCACTGCACTCCAGCCTGGATGACAGAGTGAGACTCCTTCTCAAAAAAAAGTTAAAAAAAAAAGTTGAATTTTTCAAAGTTTGCATAGGTTTATATGCTTTAAGCATTCACAATAATTGTGATTTCCCCTTCCTTCTTCTCTTTTTTAGTGGAAGTTTTTCCTACTGAAAGTTTTTGTGGAAAGGAAAGAAAAGTAAGGTAGTAATAAAAAGAAGTAGAAGGAAAATACGAAGAACTAGGCCTCCCAGATAGTAAAACACATCATAAGTCTATGGTATTTAAAACATTGTAGTACTTACCTAAGATATGACACAGAACTCATAGCCCAGAAGCAGCATATGCAGCTTAAGTGTCTCAAATTTCATCAGTCTGTGAGGTCACAGTTCCCTTTAATATGCAATTTACTTATCTTCAGAGAGGAAAGTCTGTTACCAAGTTCTGCTCTCTGTGTATTTCTGGGAATTCTCTGGGGAATGTTTACATGTTTCATTAATCATTCCTCAGTCACTGATAGCTCAACCAATGCTGCATCCTTGGACCCATCATCTCCTGCCATTCAGCGGCCACCACATCCGCCCACTGCTTGTCTCTGCTGAATTCCTTCTGAATCACGGGCCCTGCCCTTTAGCCCCCTGCTGTGATAACTGAGGCAGATTGACTGTGTTTGCAGGACATCCTGAAGCTTAGAGATAAGAAAGGAGCTAAAGTTTAGACAACTTGAAATTAGGTACCACAGACTGGCCCCAAGGACATGGGTATTTTAGAGATTATCTATATGCTCCCCTCATTACTCAGCAAAATCCTGTTCTTCTGGATCGCTTCCATATTGATGGTCAGAGGAATTTAAACAGTCGTTCTTAGTAATTGTCATGAAGGAGTATTTCACACAGCTTCTGAGTGAATCATCACATGTTGGTAAGCCTGACTGGATCAACATCCAGTCCTCCATCTACTGAATTTATTGGCAATAGTCTCTCTAAATGGAAGGACATAATCTGCTGGGGACCCATCTTGTTTCAGAATAAATGTCACCTGGAGACCTCTCTCACATAGAACTAATCATATCTGCCAGGTTCAAATATGCAGTGTGATTGATCACTGTGTTGAAAAATATATGGCCCTATTAGGTGTTATAAAATTGCTACCACTAGCATAACAGAAAAAGGTGTTTAATTGACAGAAGATACAATCTGTACCTGGGAATTCTGGGGTCACACAATATACATACATATATGCTCTCCAAATACTCATGTCCAACCCCCTTCACAGATACACCCAACCTAGCCCTTCTCTGTCCAGCTCCCGGGCTGCCTCCAGGCCTGAGAGCCAACCTGGCCCTCTCAGGAGTGCCCTTCTGCCCAGGGTTCAGGCCTGAGGAGAGGTCTTCCATGACCTCCTTTCCCCCAGGACTGCCCATTTCCCGAGTGACTTACCGGAGGGATAGTCATTCTTTGTACAGAAGACCCCATTCATAGGAATGTGGGCCAGGCGCAGTTGCTCACACCTGTACAATCCCAGCACTTTGGGAGGCTGAGGCGGATGAATTACTTGAACCCAGGAGTTCGAGACCAGCCTTGGCAACATGGCGAAACCCCATCTCTACAAAAAATATGAACATTAGCCAGACTTAGTGGTACATGCCTGTAGTCCCAGCTACTCAGGAGGCTGACATGGGAGGATCGCTTGAGCCTGGGAGGTGAAGGTTGCAGTGAACTTTGATCGTACCACTGCTCTCTAGCCTGGGTGGCAGAGTGAGACCCTATCTCAAAAAAGGAATGTCAACTTGCCCTTTGCCCTTTGCCTCTCCCTACATCCCCAGAAAAAAATCAGAACATAGTTTTGTGACATCAGTACTTAATCCAAAATATAGTGTATTCAATATTTTATTTTTGGAGACAGAGTCTCACTCTGTCATCCAGGCTGGAGTGCAGTGGCACGATCTCAGCTTACTGCAATCCCTACCTCCCTGGTTCAAGTGATTCTCCTGCCTCAGCCTCCCAAGTAGCTGGGACTACAGGTGTGCACCACCATGCCTGGCTAATTTTGGGTTTTGGTTTTTTTTTTTTTTAGTAGATTAGGGGTTTCACCATGTTGGCAGACTGGTCTTGAACTCCTGACCTCAAGTGATCCACCCATCTCGGCCTCGCAAAGTGCTGGGATTATAGGTGTTAGCCACCGTGCCTGGCCTAGTTTATTCAATCTTGAATACAACCATGGGTAGAATCAAACGTCCAGTGCCTTTTCACAGTATTTTCCTGGATGACCTGATGGCCAGGGCTAATTGTCTTTAGGCCACCTGCAAGCTCTCAACTCTGATCTCCTGCTGGCAACTGCCTAAAGCAACTACAAGTCCACAGCTTCCAAAAATAATAATGCATAGGCACAGAGCAGCTATAAATCTACACTTAAGAAAGAAACATTTTTTTTTAGAGTCATGATAATCTTCAGAGATGCAACTCTATCTCCCAGCAAGCTGACTTTTTATATGCTTCAGCTAAGCTTCAGCTTCTCAAACTTCTGTTTTAGATCAAAGTATTTGCGGCACATTAGGCACACTTAAAAACCCACTGGGACAGGTTACCAAAACACAGGCAGAGTCCTTCATCCAAGACAAATCCAAGCCTTAACCTCCTAGAAAACAGTAGGCGCTCTTTAAATGAATAGTTGAAATTCTTATTTCTACTCACAGAGTTTTAAAAAAAAAAATCAGGGTCTAATACTACCCAGAATTATTTTGTCTTTGGTGCAATAATGAAAGCAGTAACACAAAAGTATCGATTTATTAAACTGTCTTATTGAGAGCCTCTATATGTGCCAGGCACCACGCTGGGTGCCAGAATCACACAGTGAGTGAAAGGCTCCCATTCCCCTCCCACATGGAGCATACAATCTAACACTGGCCGGATGCGGTGGCTCACGTCTGTAATCCCAGCACTTTGGGAGGCTGAGGCAGGTGGATCACGAGGTCAGTAGATTGAGACCAGCCTGGCCAACATGGTGAAACCTCATCTCTACTAAAAATACAAAAATCAACTGGCCACGGTGGCATGTGCCTATAGTCCCAGCTACTCGGGAGGCTGAGGCAGAAGAATCGCTTGAACCCGGGGGGCGGAGGTTACAGTGAGCCGAGATGGGGTCACCGCGCTCCAACCTAGCGACAGAGCGAGACTCCATCTCAAAAAAAAAAAAAAAAAAAAGTGGCGGAACACTTATTATATCAAGTATTTGTTATTTTACAACTCACAGTTTTAAAAGTTATAATGATTTTTATCTATAATTTAACCTAACTTCTATTTTTGAGTTATCTCGCTAGATTAGTAGGAAACCTAACCTCATCTTTTAAAGCCCCCCACCCGGCTTCCCTTATTGTGTGTGCCTTGGTTCTGGAATTTTATACAACGGGTGTATAGGAATAGAGATGGAGGGTGGCCCCTCGTCTTCTGTCCTTATCCCTTCAGGTCGGATGATGTTCAGCTGTGTCCATGTCGTGCTTGGGCATGGGCGCCATCTTGGCCTGCCTGTGGTCCCACTGCCCAGACACACCACAGACATTCCCCATCCCTCGCTCCTAGCATCTCTGCCAGTGAAGCAAGGTTCTTGACCCCTTTGCTCCTGAGTCCAGTGGTCCTTTATGCTCTTGTCATACCACTTTTTTTTTTTTTTTGAGACGGAGTCTCCCTCTGTCGCCCAGGCTGGAGTAGCACTCGCCTCGCTGCAGCCTTTGCCTCCAGGGTTCTCCTGCTTCAGCCTCCCGAGTAGCTGGGATTACAGGCATGCACCACCAAGTCTGCTAATTTTTTGTATTTTTAGTAGAGACAGGATTTCACCGTGTTAGCCAGGATGTTCTCAATCTGCTGACCTCGTGATCCGCCCGCCTCCGCCTCCCAAAGTGGTGGGATTACAAGTGTGAGTCACCGTGCCCAGCTGTCACACCACCTTGACCACTGAAGGGGGACCTCCTTTCCAGTGCTGGGAAAGCCATTTCCATTCAGATATTTAGTTAAATATTTTGCCTTTGCTCTGAAGTTGCTCTGAGTCCCAAACTTGGCTTTTGAAAGCAAAAACACATTTCCCTTTCTGACTTCGCAATATCCCTCCGCCGAGGTTGAGCACAATGTCAATCATCCCCTTAAATAGGGGAAAGAGGCGAGGTAGAAAATATGTATAGACATCAGGATCTTAAAATATAATCCCACCACATGAAGAAATGGTGGGTTTTTTTGTTTTGTTTTTGTTTTTGTCTTTGTTTTGTTTTTTGTTTTTTGTTTTCAGGCTTAATTCACTTTATTTTTCTTGTATAAAAACCCTATGTTGTAGCCACAGCTGGAGCCTGGTTCCACTGCACGAAGACTCTGGTGTGGGTCTTGACAAGGTGGTCAGTGAATTCCTGATAGGGAGACTTGGTAAATACAGTCTCCTCCAGAGGTCGGGGGTCAGGTAGCTGTAGGTCTTAGAGATGTCATCAAAGGTAGCCTTGGCAAAGTTGCCCAGGATGGCAGTGCAGCCCTGGGCTGAGGTGTAGCAGTCATCGATACCAGCTATCATAAACAGCTTTTTGGGCACAGGCGCTGAGACGATGCCAGTGCCCCTGGGTGCAGGGATGAGGCGCACCAGCACAGAGCCACAGCGGCCTGTCACCCTGCAAGGGACAGTGTAGGGCTTGTCGATCTTGTTCCCACAGTAACCTCTGCGCACGGGGACATTGGAGAGTTTGGCCAGGATGATGGCCCCACAGATGGCGGTGGCTTCCTCCTTGGAGCACTTAACACCCAGGCCGACGTGGCCATTGTAGTCCCGGATAGCAACAAACGTCTTGAACCTGGTGTGCTGGCCAGCACGGGTCTGCTTCTGCACCGGCATAATCTTCAAAACCTCGTCTTTGAGAGAGGCCCGCAAGAAAAAGTCAACGATCTCAGATTCCTTAATGGGCAGGGAGAAGAGGTAGATCCCCTCCAGGGACTTGATCTTCATGTCCTTGACCAAGCCGCCCAGCTTGGTGACCGGCATCCACTTCTTACCCTCGGCGTTGCCTCGGCGAACTCCGCGGCCTCGACCCGGGCCCCGCAGGGTCGCCACCCGGCCCCGGATGCCACTACCGAAACCTCCGCGGAAGCCACCGCGGTTCCCCATCCCAGGTCCTCCAGGGCCTCCGGGCGGGGCCGCTGCACCGGTGTCATCCGCCGTTTGGTGTTTTCTCGGAGAAGCAGAAGTGGTGTTAAGAGGGCTGGGCGCGGTGGCTCACGCCTGTAATTCCAGCACTTTGGGAGGCTGAGGAGGGCGGATCATGAGGTCAGGAGATCGAAACCATCCTGGCCAACATGGTGAAATCCTGTCTCTACTAAAAATACAAAAATTAGCTGGGTGTGGTGGCCCGTGCCTATAATCCCAGCTACTCGGGAGGCTGAGGCAGGAGAATCGCTTGAACCAGGGAGTGATAGGTTTCAGTGAGCTGAGATTGCTCCAGTGCACTCCAGCCTGGCAACAGAGCAAGACGCTGTCTCAAAAAAAAAAGAAAGAAGGAGAAGAAA